GGCCACTATCTAGCTGCTAACTAGTGAATACACCCTGTATCGTGTGTTGCCTTGTGACTCACATAAACATTGTAATCAGAACCAGAAATAACTTCAGGGCTTGTTGCAAATTACATTTTGCAGGATGAAGTCCTCAATTAGCCTGCATACTAGGATGTGCAGAAATCTGCAACTACTGCATACGGACTCTCATACATACTTACAATGTCGTTACCTCAGTTTCACGCTCGTGACGACATTGCAGAAAGAGTTTGAAGGCATAAATTTGAACGCAGGTCTGCGGTTAGGTCTATGCCGGGTGCGTTTTGGGTACGAAAACTCGAATTTTTTCCTACTGCCACACTGTCAAGCATCTATAAGATAAATGGAGCCCTATCGCTTTCAAACCAGTCAAAAAAGTGCGGAATCCCCTGTAAAAACACATTCTCAGGAACAAAATACGCATGAAAGTACTTTTGAGTGAAAAAAGCAGATAAGCGTTTCTTATAGAGGTATGACACAGCTGGACTAAAGCCACTGCTTTGACTTTTAACTATGTATATGCACAAAAGACTTTGGAAGCTGAGAATTACTTTAGTGGACAAAATTTTGGGTGGATCTATAGTTTTGGCCAACCTTCAAGCCTGCTTCTTTCGAAATTTTTGATTTTTTCCTGAACAATCAAACCAAAGCGGGATTCCGCTCCGGTCAATGATGGAAGCCTGTTGAACACACAGCTGTGCCAAATTTCAGATCAATTTGTTGAGAAGCAGATGAGTTACGGCAGTTTTCAGAGTGGATCTATAGTTTTGGCCAGCACTGTATACACGGATATGAGGCGGAGCTTGCCCGGGTACAAAGTACAACGTAGAAGAGGTACATGGCTTAAAAGGAGTTGCCGCCGTTCGGCCACACTCCTGGTGCACGGGTGCCAATCATTCTTGAGTGATTAGATACTCAAGAATGAATGGCGTACAATTGAGCCTATGGGGGTTCCATAGGCGATGTGGAAAAATGGATTGATTAGGTTGATGATATAGAAATCATCAACACTCCGGGCGACTAGGGAAAAAATCAGGTGACGCAAACACATGTAATCGCTATAATGCAAGCATTGGTGATAAAATGAATCATCGTATATCAATCACAATTACAAAAATTTACACGCACATCAATGACAATCTTATAATTTTTGGGACACAAAAAATAGTGAAGGCTAACGCCGCTGCGATTGTGATGGTAGCTACGACGAGCATCTTCCATGACGAGAGGGCGACGCTGATGATGTGTCCAATGTCGGGATAGTTGTAGACGTTGACGTATGAAGCTTCCTCGCTAGCAGTGCAATGTGGAAACAAAATGGTAATGCAGGCATCGTGAGTTATGTAAAAGTAGTTGCGCAGCTTCCACCTGTTCATCTTATCTATCGTCAGTTGTGTCAGCTTCTTCGTTGTATCGCAACATATCTACTTCTTTGTCGTCATTCGTAACAAGTCTTCTTGTCTTCTTTCGCGGCAGCTTCTTTGTTGGACGTTTACAAACCACTAATAGTTTGAAAGTTTTATAGAAAATAATACAAATCGATATTCACATTCTGCACAATGGGTGCAGAATCCGCACAATGGGTGCAGAATAATAATTTGGTATGGCACAGTAGTCAATGGTCACGAAATATCACAAATCTAAATATGACTAGAATATATATGAATCGATATTCGCAAGGTGCACAATGGGTGCAGAATAATGCTTTGGTATGGTACAGTAGCAATGATCACGAAATATCACAATTATCACATATGACTAGAATTATAATTCAATATGCTCGCTCTGCTAATATTCAATATGCATATATTCAATATGCTTCTTTGAAAAAATGGGTCCGGATAACGGAAAAGTACCAAAAATTCTACTATATTCGTTCAAACTAGTCTTAGCGGGATCCTATCATCTCATTTGTAAAAGAAAAATAGAGAACAAAGAAGATGATCAAAAAATATGAAACAACAGAAAAAGAAAAAGTGCAATGTATACAGAAAAATGTATCAACTCTACCTTTTTGTATGCTGTCACCGACCCTAGAGCACTAGGCCGTCCCTTCGCACCTCAAAAGATACGCCACCGCACCTCAAAAACATACCCTCGTCCACCTCGTAATTATCATTGCTCTGCAGGCGACTTCGCACCTCAAACTGCGAGTTATATGTTGTAAATAAAGACAAGAGAGTCGACGAAAGCACATGAGTAAAGAAAAAATAAATAGACAGAGATGGAGTTTCATTAACACTGGCACAAATCAAAAAAAAACTTTCCAACATAGCCGTCAAAACCGGTGCGACGTACGTAAACATCATATCATACCCCCCCCCCCCCCCTTATATCGATATCAGCGCCCCGCGCAATTAACACCTCCGAAAAGGCGCGAAAGGCACCACACAAAAGTTCAGGGTACACAGTACCATTAAACGATATAAATATGCGCTCTTTCAACGGCTAGTTATCCTCCGCTCCGGCCACCTCCACCGCCACCGCCGTTCACCACCGCCTCAGGCCACCGCTCCGCAACCGTCGCCGCCACACACACAAGGCCACGTGATATAAACCGCGACCACCATCCAGCGATGTCGCTCACAGCGTAGCTGCAGGAGGCTTTAGAAGACCTCGACCGGTACGACGACACTCATCTCGCACCCAAGCTGAACGCGCTGGAGCTCCTGTGCAGGAAGATCGCGGAGCAGAACAGCAAGATCCTGGAGCTGAACGCGCGGATCCTGGACCAGAACCAGAAGATACTCGAGCGCACCTCCCCCAAATCGAACTGCGTATTTTGCAGTGTGGGGGAGAACCGGGACAACCACTTCTCGGGTAGGTGCCTTCGTTTCAGGGACCCAATCGCCAAGGCAGCTCAAGCCTCGAAGCTGGGACTCTGCCTCTTTGCTTCAAAGCAGTGCACGGTGTGGGGTCAAGTGCGAGAATCGTGGCCTCGGCCACAATTTCCTCCTTTGCTCCAGCCGGCGACCCTCACATCCGCCACCAAAACGCCCACGCCACTGAAGCCCGCCGTCCAACGCCAGCCGCAGCCGCCCTCAAACTCCAGCCGTAGCCGCCGTCCAACGCCACCCGCCATCGTCGCCATCCACCCCAAGCTGTCAGCCCAGCCCTAGCCGTCTCCACGTCGCCAGCCGTAGCCGCCGTCCAACGCTAGCCGAGCTCCAGCCACCTCCATCCCGACTGTTCGAGGACGCAACAAAAATTGATATGGTATTTATATTGTCTTTGTATTTTGTTCGCTATATTCTTTTTGTCGCCCTCTCGGCGGGAGTATCATCGTCCCGATGATACCTCTACCCCCGCCGCGACCCCAGGTCACGTCTGAATAGGCGTGGCCGAAGACATGCACCCTATTACCACTCGCACACTTGACCAAGCTCTTGTATACACGCTCTTGCTACTCGCTGTAATCTTGTTAATAAACCTGAACCACCGTCTTTTCTACTTGTATTTGCGTTACGGGCAAAACCGCCCAAGAGTCTCTAGTACCCGCAATAGTGGTGATGCCTCTCACGCCTGCACGCCTGGCTTCCTAGCACATGACCCGCGGGCGAGTATGTTCTAGCCGGCGGCCCGCGCGCCTGTAATTCTCACCTGCAATGAACGCATTGCATACCCGCATGAGGTACGTGCAGTGATCTAGCCGTTTCTTTGCTTTATGGACTCATCGGGTCTCGGATATGGGTAAAGGCCAGCAGGAACGACTCTCTGCACAAGAGTTGATCCCAAAAAGAATCCGGATTGGGTGCCGACATGATTCTTTGACTTAGGCCTGAACTTGGCTAGCCCACTGAAAAATTCGGTAGTACAAAACCTAACGGAAAACGGAGAGGAGCAGGGACGCAGCCACTCAACGGTCGAGCAGCAGCGGCGCGCCAGCCATTGTCTCACCATCCGCGGACTGGGTGTTGCGCCACCACCGTTTCTCTCCTGCGCGCTGCACGCTCCCACTGTCTGAGAAGGCTCTGAGCAGGCGAGAGGCGTTTGCGAATTGCGCTCATCCGCTAGTTTCATGCGGTTCATGCGCAACATTGTCAGAAGTACCTATATCCTTCTTCTAATCGGCTTCTTCTTTCATCCTTTCTTCTCTTCTTCTCCTCTTCGTCCTCCATCTGCATTCGTTTCCAGCTTCTTCATCCATCCGTACCGGTTGACTCTGCCATCCTTGCCTCTGCCATCCTTGAGTGCTCCGGCGTGTGTCCGTTGCAGCATAGGAATCACCAGCAGAAGCATGGCTTTATATAGGGTATTGTTTTCGTACAAATATTTTTCACTCCAATATCAGAAGACTGTACACGAGTAACTTTTTAAGGATGATGTAGGAAATGGGTTAGTCATATCACTTCCCACCCTGTGCTGCACTAAGGTACATATGTCTAACGGATTCATGATCACTTATCTTCTTGTTTCGATATCACTTTCTATCAATAATTTCTTCTGTAGTTGAAGACTACTCTAATACAGTAACGATGATATCGCAAAATGCAAACTATATTCGGAATCTCCATGAAAGATCACCCCAGGTACATAAGAAACTAAGGGAAAAAGCGATTTTGCACCTTTTCGAGAAAACTTTATTTTTCTAGTGTGAAACGATAGAAGGAATTGTTACGTTTATCTTGATAGAATAGCCGATAAGATGAGCCGGAAATAAGGTGCTCCGAGCAAGACTGGACTATTGCGAGTTTGCATTGGAGCACATTATTTTTCGGCCGATGGACGTTGCCTAATACTGTACGTCCCGCGATGGTGCAACCGCAGAACGCCCATTTTCTTTACGCATTAGGAATGATTGTTTCATTTTGAGTTTCGCTTCTCATTGCTTTTCAGTTTCTTTACGTGCAGCAAATAAGATGCAGAGCTTGAAAGGAAAAGCAGTTTTGTTAATTTTTTTTATCTCAACGCTTTGTGTTACAAAAGTTACTAGGAGCACGTCCTTTTTCATTGTTTTTTCTCACACGTACCCTCTTTAGATGTCATCTCCGGATATTGATAATCTCATAAAATCTCTGACTCCATCAAGAGCGACCCCACAATCGGTTTACAAGCGGACATTGTCGTTCATCGACAACATTAACAGAAAGCCGCCGCCTGTTCAAATGGCTGTTGGAGGAGGAGCAGGATTGTAGGTTTTACGAAGTCATTTCTGTTTTTTTAATCTATTCATGTCTACGAGGCAATTCTATAGATTTGATTGTGTTTTTTTATCGCATCTAGATATGCTAGACTGTTGCATTTGTAGTATTTTGTGTTTTGGAGTCCATTTGTATGCAAGAGCATTTCGACTTACTTTTTAACTCAGTTTGAACGAGTAAAAGAAAAGTTTCCTCCCAAAAAATGAAAAGAAAAGTTCTCATTCCCAAATTCCCATTTGAAGTGCACACAGGATAGCTTAAGTTTACAACCAATCCTGCGTTGGAATATTACTTTGAAAAGATATGTTAAGTTAAATTTAAGAACTCCGCATCGTCAGCCACTTCAGCTTGCGTCGAAATTATACGAGAGCGCGGAATGGTGTATCGAGATTATACTCGACCTTGTGGCATTTCGATGCGAAAATGTGAGATTTCACCACTGAACAATTTAGATCAAAACTGTTTTTGTATCTTTCATGCATAGTTGGGCAAATAAATTAATGAAGAAGTGTGCCTTTAAGTCATCTTGTTTTGAAATTGCATAATAGACATCCTTGGGATTGTGAAGAATGCCTATTTCAAACGACGTGCTGCATTTATGATTGGCAAACAAGCTGAACAATGACAATTTATGCACAGTAACACATCTTCAGATATAGAAATATGATATTATTACTAAACAAGCCAAGAAAAAATCTAGATTGACTCTGCCAGTTCTATACCGCATACTCAGACAACTGCATCGGGAAATTCGCGGGTGCTCCGGTATAAACCGATATTGGACCCGGTAAGTGACCGCAGCGCATCCTGTAAGCGTCCGATAGTTGATCCGGTTAGCATGCTTGTGTGGCCTAGAAAGAGTGAAAAAATTTTGGCCTGTCTTTCATGACAACGAGTAAGTACCCTAATTTTACGCCTACAAGGCGCGGGGTGGTCCTGGCTTTCATCGACCAGCCCGAACACGGCAAAGGACTTCGCAACCAAAGGAACCCCATACCGTGCTGCGTTTTGCCTGACGAACCGCGCGGCATAAGGATCGCTTCTTAAAACACGTTGGGGCGGCTGAGCAGCTCGATGAAAGCTAGGACCACCCCGCGCCTTCTACGCGTGAAATTAGGGTACTTGAGCTACTTGTAGCTCATCTGTCGACATCAACGAATGTCGTCGATAACACTCAACCGATTGCTAGAGTTTGTTTCATGACCATATAAACTCAACTGTCACACAACCCAACCCGAGAAGCGTCAACCACCCGCAAACACTCAGGGTAGCCTCATCGCTGCGGCGTACCTCACGCGGGTTGCGCCTTAAGCTACAGCGTGCAAGAAGTGCGGCCTTCGATAAGGCCCGCGGCACGCCTAGTGGGGTGATTGGGCCGCGACTTTACCGATAAGCTCTATCCAATTTTAACTTTGGCCGACAGTGCACGAAACTACACAAGTGCGAGAGCTTTCGAATAGAGAAGATAGATGAAGAAGTGAAACTATGAAAAAAAACAACAAGTTTTTCTTTTTGTTCGGGGCGTGCTTCAACTTTTTGAAAGCTAGAATAAAGATTGATTTTGATTCTGTTATGTTTGAAAAATTCTGAATTCAAATTATAGATTAATTTATTCAAATTATTCAACCCCCCCCCCCCCCCAGAATACATATATGTATTCTTTGAGGAAATGGGTTTGTGTTAGATTAAAAAGTTGAAACGCGGTGAAGCCCTAAGCCCTGAGCCCTCCATAGCCCTCGTGTGTGCGGTTCATTCTGATAAGCATGCTTGAAGTAAGCGAAAAATACAACACTGCTCATAATTTCTGCAAGAAAAACGTGATGTTTTCCTGATTTAACACGTTCACGACAAGGCCGAATTTTCGATGACTGCCACTCCAAACTAGAGCATATTTCGCAATGTTGAGTTTGCGTAATAGTTTCTGGCCTCTGATGGGCCCTACTCCAAGTCCGTAGGACCTATCATCAAAAAGAATCTGAAGTAATAATTTTTGGGGAGTAGCACAAGAGACGTATACAGAAGTCTATTCAGTCTTGCCAAAACGTATAATCGCAAAATAGCATCATTAGAAAGCTCAGAAAGCATACGACCTACTGGTGGCCGTATTGTCGTGAATGTGTTAAGTGACATCACTTTATTGTGGCTCGCTTCAGAAATTTGAAAAGGGACACCAATCGGCTCAGCTTGGCACGCCAACTTCTGCTATACAATGCTGCCTGCTTGATCACAGTAGGCACAGTTGATTAATAGAATTCGCAAAGCCTTGCAGATTTTTGCACGATAGATTGTTAGTGTGCTAAAATACTGCATATTGATAATCACCGTGAGCAAAGACTCCATTCATTCCTGGAATCTGGATACCTGCCGTGCACCGTACTCCAGCCTCTATGTATAAAAAGATTACCTCTTCGAGCGGAATCAAATGGTACACTATTGGATTCAGAATTCTTCCACACCGATGAGGGCACGCTACGAAGTTATGAGCGTTTCAGTGTTCAAATTCGCGTAACTCTAATTGAGCATGGAAAAGTCTACAAAAACGCGAAAGTGGGTGATTGATTTTGTATCAAGTACATCCAATAGATGAAGAAACACAGCCATTGAAATTCTGCATAGGTTTTGTAGAGTTTTCGCTAGCTTTTTGCTACTTAAAGCTGAACAAATTGGAATATTCAAACGCTCATTACTTCTCTCAGAAAGTTGTTACACAAGGAATGCATATTTGAAAGCAACGTTTGAAGATACATAATCATTTCACACAACTCGTCATCGATCGCCAACTTGAGTTGGTTTCCTTCCTTTGTAAGGACGAAAAAAACTTATATGTTTTGGAATGTCGCTATATATCAAGGACAAAGTGATACAATATCACGGTCTTAGACAAAGAACCGCTCATCTTAGCTGTGGCCTAATTTTAACGGACAAATACTTATGAATTAAAGATGATTATAGTTGTTCACTGATTTAAATAGGCAGATATGAGAGTTTCTGTCAGCGCTGTCAACTTTCCATTACGTTTGCGTATAGCGCACAAAATTGTGCAGATTATCTAACCCAACAGTGCTTAGCATGTTGCTGATGAGAACAAGTGATGTATTGGAGTCATGAAACTTGCGATGAACCACAAGTCGCAAGTCGGGTTTACCGAAAAATTCAATCTATCAAAAACTCATTTGTTCTCATCAGCAACATGCTAAACACTGTTGTGTTAGATAATCTGCAAAACTTTGGAAGTTTTTCGTCAACTTCGGAGAAAGAAAAGTGACTTTAAAGAATAGCACAGGGATCACCAGAGATCATAGAAAAGCTGGAAAATGCGGTTCGTACAGCTTCTCACTCCTGTTCAACATGTTCATAGTGAAGGAAGTAGGAATAGTCGCGGACAGGTGGCCAGCGTGAAATCCAGATATCTGGAGCTTCAGAATAAGAAGCTTCCTTTTAGGATGCGATCCCCTCCCCAGCGGGTTTAATGCATGCGGCCCCAAATTTCAGGAATTTCTTGATCAGAAAATACATATGAATATCACATAGTAAATCATCTAGTCCTTCTCCCTTCGTCCATCACCACGATCCACCGATAGGGAAGTGATGATGTCTGCAACAGATGTGTATGTTCTCCGCAAGACTGTACCTACTTGTGGTCAGAGTCACTTTTTGAATGCGAACACTTGCGCACAAATGTTTACCAAATTGCCAAAAGGATATTGATGAAAAAGTTTGGTTAAGATCCTCTGTCCTGTAACACATAGCTACCCTTTGAATTCAACGGGATTGGCGGCTGGAAGGCAGGGCTTCGAGGCCTATTCAAGGCTTGAGAATGACCAGAGAGCACGCTCGCGGGAGAAACCTTTTTGTTTAGAGCACTGCATTTTCAAAATCAACAAAACTATTGAGTCACATTTTTTCAAACAAAATCGCAACAGAATAAGAAATCCGCTCAAAGCATTCAGCTCCACACAAACAATTGTTTGCTAAGCAGTGTTCACCTGATGGTGTCTGAAATAATGAGTTCAGGTGACAAGTAAGCAGGGCCGAAGAGGCACCGTAACGTTGAACAGCGTCCCGGCAAAAAGATGAGTATTGGGTTTTTGTGCCGTTGTTAAAGTAGACCCCTCACCTAAGCGACGACTGAAGTTCAGAGCGAAAAAGGGTGTCTACCAAGCCTGAAATCTGCAGAGTAGCCCGGATCTTACGCTAGGCTCGATGGCCGCCCGCACAGCTTTTGAACTGTAAGGCTAGAGCACGCATTGGCACACCGTCATGAGCGCAGGGTCCCGCAACGACTCTGCTTCTCTACCTCGCATGCACCTCGTACTCGCAACCTACCGTAAGATCAGGGCACTTTCGGAGCAAATTTCAGGCTTGGTGTACCCCCTTTTTCGCTCCGAACTTCAGTCACCGCTTGGGTAGTGGTTCTATCTTAAATCGCCACAAAAACCCTGCAACCATTTTTTTGCCAGGACGCTGCCTTTAACTTAGGCCGTCACAGCTAACCTAGCATGACGGAGGTTTACGATGGGCCCATATCAAGCACCCTTTTTCTGCGTATCGGTTCAGTCTGATAATACCTATATGCGACTATTGTAGTTGTGAATATTCAACAAACTGTTGTATTTACTGCATCAGGCAATTTGTCATACCAATGCAAACCACTGCATCACGCTCGTTGCCAGAGGAGCACCATCTTCACCATCCTAGCAATCTGGTTTGTTCTTCTCGACAAAGTGACATTATGATTCAATAGGTGGCAACGGTTTTACGTTGTTCGGGTTATCTAATAGAAACTGCCGTTAGGATGTGGTGATTTAGTTTTCTTTGTTCTATACATTCGCTGAAATCTTAGTATAAAGGTAATAGCTTACGAGAGGAAACCAAGAGACCCATTTCAGCTTCTGTGACAGCTTCGAGCGCTTTCTTTTTGTTCGTTTGTGAGCAAAAAATGAGACTTGTTGTTTGGCAAGTAAGTGTTCTTTCATTCTAATTACTTTCGTGGTATTTCTGCTAGGTTGACTTCAAATTCAGCATTACTTTGAATGGAAATGAACCTGATTTGAGTTCTCATGCAATTTGTTTGATTGATAATTTAGCATTTGTTTCTAGATGGCAGGAGCTTATGTGACGATACTCCAACTAATCCTTCCTGCCACATGTTGGTTGCAAAAGAAACTATTTGATAATGAACACAATGTTGTGTGCACAGGTGAGCAACGAACGCAAAGCGTAATGATTGCGGACTTTGCTTCAAGATTGATTAAAAAGCGCTAGCAAATTAACTTGATCTCCAAATCTACACACAGGAACACCAAAAAGTGTACATTCCAGTAAGCCACTGAGAATAACAACAACCTTATCAATAGTAGTAAAGGCAGAACATAAGTTTATTAAAGGTGAGCATTAATGACGGCGTGATAAAAAAAAGACACTGTAAATATGTACAACCCCTCTAGAAAGAAGTAAAATCAATAAATTTTAGTACACGTTGCTTA